TTTGGGAACCACTGTTGTAAAATATATATTTTTTTGCATTGATGATGCCTTTTCTGCTGTGCACTTGCCATATGCACATATATAGCATCAGATTCAGGCTTTTGAACCATACAGTGTTGACAGGCCTAATATCTCTTTATTTAAGAGGACATGTTGGTTATCATTTTCAAAAAGAAAAATAGAMAATTTACTAATTTACAAATAGATTGCTCAGCAGCTTTGAAAGATACAAAGCTGAAATTTGGTGGGTTAGTAGCTGAGAGCCAACTCAACACTTTCTAAATGCTAATCACAAGTTTAGACTAACTTATAATGCTAATTTTAGATATGGCTATAATTATTAGCCATTTTGAGATTTACAGAGCTGAAAACCGGCGTAGTTTTGATCAGTTTCGATTGGTACATAAAAATTCAAAATGGCTGCTAGAGCTGATTTGAATTTGCAATAACTTGGCCATTTTAAGACATATTTGGCTGGAATTAGGTGTGGTAGCTTAGAATGATCCTCATCACATACTGAATCCAAATCAAAAATCCAAAATGGCTGCCATAGCTAAACAGAAGAAGTGACCATAACTGAGCCACGTTTTTTACGGAAGCATAGAGCTGTCACATGACATGAAATTATTTTTAAACGATCTTGTAAAAACGAGAAAATCATCTTCTTATATCAAGATAACCATCTCGTAATAAAGTGTTATGTTTCTTCTGGTTTGTCACTTTCACTGAACTTTATTGCCTGGATGGYGTGATGGAGAACACGACTGAACCACTTTTTACAAAGAAGAAATCTGCAAGAGGAACACATTTCTAGACTAAAAAATGACAAAGTAAGTTAGTACTGAATAGTGCTTTTGAAATAATAGCGTCTGAATTCAGATTAGAGAGTGCATATTGCTAAAGAAGTGCTACTAGCTGCAACGTCTGAGCACAAACCCAAATAATGTGTTCTGTTCGTTTTTTGTTTAGTGGTACAGTTGTGTTCTCATCATGCCATCCACGCAATAAACTTCTGTGAAAGTGACAAACCAGAACACGTTACAAYGAGATGGTTATCTTGATATAGTTTTCTCATGACGAGATCCATTTTAAAAATAATTTCATTCATGTGACAGCTCTATGTTTCCGTAACTTTTAGCTTTTTCACTTTTAGCTATAATAAGGTGAAATTTGGTATAGTTGTCTATGACCATGATCTCCAACAAATTAACGTAAATCTTAATTTAAATTTCATGCCACGTGGCAAGCCTTTCGTAGTTCCTCTTCAGGGCTATTCAACTGGCGGCCCGCGGGCCACATCCGGCCCAGGAGTGACCAAAGTTCAGCCTGCCAATTGGTTTATTCATCCCTTAAGCCCAAACTCCCGGTTTTCTACGTTAATTACTCTTAAGTTCGTTTAGTTAAACAAAGACATGTTTGGTATCTACAGAAACCTCAGAATCTTGACTAGAAGCTGGTAAAAACCATTTCTATAACCACTCAAGACAGTTAAAACTACAAGCAGTTGAATATAAAATGATGAAAGTGAAAATAAAATTGGTTTAAAAAGTCAGAGATGTCAAAATGTTATTTGTGTCAAATAGGGGGTATAATGTGTTGTTTTTGATAATGTGTAATTATCACTATTTTTATAGGGTTCTTTATGTTGTATTTATGATTAAATGCAGCAAAATAAACTAATTCAAAGGCAACATATCTTTGTAATATTTGGTTTATTTACATAATAACTTTAATTGCTGGGTGTTTGGCCCCTCAGCTGTTGACCGGCTGTAACTGTGGCCCCCAGAGCAGTTTAGTTGAATAGCCGTTCTAGTTTATTTGTTTACTAAGTTTGGCTGTAAATAAAATGTGGACATTTCCAAGTTATTGCATTCTATTTGTTTGAACTTTCTCAAAATTGGGGTTGTGGTATTAAAGTTCAAGCATTCTTACCGAGCAGATGTTCCACATCTCGTTTGTGGATACGGTTTTGGTTGTAGAAAAATCCCCGCTCTCCACAGACAAAGTAGAGAGCGTCCACCAGGTGGGAGCCACACAGGTGCCGGATGGGGGCCGAGGAGGCCCCTGGAGAGCAGAGCACAAGCAGTAACAGCGCTGACACCGCCCATGGTACCCTGGCCATAAGAAGGAGACCGCTTGGACAAGAGGACAGAAAGGAGATCTCACTCATAAACTTGAACGAAGCACATCAAAATTCTATTACGTTCAGCTTCTAGGGTGAGAAACTGACTGCATATTAAATACAGCCATCATGAAACTTGATTGAAGCAGTTTGTCATGACACTTGAGCATTACAAGACTACTTTAAATGCTATGGAACAATTGATTTTATTGGATCTCAGAGGACAAAAAGAAAAGCCATGATAAAAACTTGCAAGTTTTTATGTTTTGTTTTTGGCACATCGCCATAGTTGCCTGTGTGTTAGCAAAAATACTTAGACCAAGTGGACTAATGATAATGAACCTCTCAGAAGCTAGTCATATGCACATCTACAGCTAATTCATTTATGGCATCAAACATTTCACGGCGGCTGCCACAGCTATTCAGTCTGTCAGTTTAGGAGATATTGAGTTAAAGTTTGGTGTAGAAGCTGTTTAGAGTGACCCTAAACACCGTCACTGAGCTGTACCGACTGCTTAAGAACTTTGCTTAAAAATCTGACATTACCTTTGTAGTCAACCCTGTTTGTTAGCAAAACCTTTCATAAACTACTGAATGGGATTTGGTGAAACGTACAGCAAGTATTTACTGGACATAGATCTAAAAGTGATTAACTTTTGGAGTCGATCTGATTCAAGCTGCCGCAGCTAACTTCTCAAAYACACAAACGACTAAATCTCAGCTTTAAAGACATGGAGCTAAAATTACACATGGTAGTGRCTGAGATTCATCCCCATCACTCTGTGAGCCAACTGATCACTTATACTTGTTAATATTCTTTAATTGCATTTCAGACATCATTAAAAGTTGGGTTTCAGATTATGTATATATATA